GGGGATGCGACAGCTCCCCGGCGGGCCGCTGGCGCTCACGCAGGTCCCGGGGGTCGGGGTGGCGGTAGGCGTCGCGGTAGTGGTGCGCCATGGCCATGTCCTCCAGGCGGTAGTGCTGGGGCAAGGGGGGGCCGGCGGGGGGGTGCCCCAGCCCATTGGGTGGGTGGCTCAGCCCATTGCTGGGGCTGTAGCGTTGCGCCGGGCTCATGGTGCACGGCCGCTTGCTGAGGTGCTCGGGGTGCAGAGGGTCTCGGTCCAAACCGTTCTCTTTGGTCCTGGGTGGAGGAGAGGAGGTCAGTCCCCGCTGGGCACCAATGCCCGCTGCCCCGGAGCCGGGTGACAGGGATTTGTCCCTGAAAAAATACCCGACGTGCCTCCCCCCGGGTCGTACCTGTCTGGCGTCCTCCTCTTGCCGCTCTCGCCCACCTCCAGGAGCAGCTCGGAGGAGTCGATGGGAGAGGAGGCGTTGGCGTCCAGCAGCAGCTGCTCGTGCTGGGCCAGGTACTGGGCCGGGGTCTGCTTGGCCATGCGGGCGCAGTGCAGCAGCTCCCGCTGCAGCAGTGGCAGGTTGGCCTGCGAGGGGGGTTAGAGTCCAGTCCGCGGCCCCGCAGACCCCCCCAGCCCGGCACCCGGCTGCTCAGAGCCCCCGCAGAGCCCGGCTGCCCGAGCGCAGCCCCCCAGTGCCTTTGCCCCCCCAGCCCGCCACAGGCAGGAGGTGCGGGGCAGGCAGCAGCCTTCCCTTTGGGCTCCTGCTCACCTTCCCCGGGGGGGGACATCCTTGGGACGCCACCCACTGCAGCGTGCCTGGGGTGGACACACATGGCACCCTGCAGGGGCCAGCCACACGCTGGCACGGGCACAGCTTCAACTGAGCCCTCCTGCACCCTGGCAGGGGTTGCAGAGCATCATCCCCCGGCCAGGTTGGCCACCTCTGCCACCCTGTCCCCACGGTGCTTGCCCTGGGGACCTGATCCCCCAGCCCAGGGGAGCCCCAGCCCATCTGGCACCCACAGGGCACGAGGGTCGGCCGGGAACTCCCCACCCACCGTGTCCCCCCCGGCACTGCAGCCCCTAGGAGCACGCAGAGCAGCAAGAATTAAGCAGCAGAGACCCCTTTCTGCCTGGGCGCTCTGGCTGCCAGCTCTGGTTTTCTCTTTAGCCAGCTGATCCGCAGCCAAACCCCCCATCTGTCGGACACGTTAGCGCCCGCGCCGGAGATGCGGCGAGCAGAGCCAGACCCTCCCCTTTGCCGGCTGGGGGGAACAACCCCACAAAAACAAGCAAGTCCCTGAGTCTGGGAAGCACGCCGAGCCCGGCTGGTTGCAGTTAGGGTAATGAGAAACATCTGGAGCCCGTGGTGGGAACAGCTGGGAGCGGGGTGCCAAGGCGGCCAGCGGGGCCGCCGCGCACTTGGCAGCGGGACAGCGGGGACGGCTCCCAGCCTGCCCAGAGCCGTGGGGCCACTGGCGCCTGCCGGGACCCCGTGAGCTGCGTGGCTGGGGATGCACCATCCCCCTGCTCCCGCCGACCCCGTGCTCCCCTGCAGACCCGGGCAGGAGGGCGAGGGGGCTCTGCCGTCCCCGCCGGCTCAGCCCGGCCGCGTTTCGGCTCTGCCTTCCCCTGCCAGGAGCAAACCACTCCGGCAGCTTTGCAGGCAGATTCCTGCGGCGAGCGTGGACCTCCGCTCTGGGGAGCCAGGGAGGCAGAGGTGGAAAAGGGGCTTTGTTTTTTTGCATTTTTTTGTTATTCCTCTGCTAACAAGGGACAGGCGACGCCGGGCTTGAACATCTGCCGGCAGCGCCAGTGCTGCCAGGCGTGCCAGCGGTCAGCGAATCCCTCCGGAGCGGGGTGACAGCGCAGAGTCAGCGCGAAATTAAAAGGCAAATAAAAAAATAGGGGATTTTTAATGAATTGCAAATGCTTACCAGCTGGGCTGAACCCCTTGCTTTATTGCAAACAGGCCCGGCCTCGTGTGACTCCACACGTGCAAGGGACTGGATGTGCAGGGGGGCGCGTGTGCCCGGGGGGACACGGGCAGCTCCACAGGCAGCTGCCAGCCCCGACCCCAAAGCCTCCCCCCGAATCCCCCTTTGCCATCGATGCCACCGCTAACCCTGACGTCCCCGCGGTGTCAGGGCTGGGGACCCACCTTGAGGAAGGGGATGACGAAGGGTCGCAGCGGGAAGTTGGTGGCCTCCTGGAGCTTGGCGTGAAACTCCTCAATGGTGAGCGTGGAGTTCTGTGGGGACAGCCTGGGCTCAGCACCACCGGCCACGGCCCCCCCTCGCCCCTGCACCCCCTGGGGGGATGCTTTGGCTAGTTCTCCCCCATTTCTGCTCCTCTGCTAGCTCTGTCATGCTCAAGGGAAAACCATGCTCGAGGGAAAACCATGCTCAAGGTTTCGCTGGCAATGCCAGCAGCGAGGACCCAACCCTGCACCGTGCCCACCCAGGGTGTTGTGCAGATCCCAGGAGATGCTGGAAAAACAGCCCCCATTTTTCCAGGATTTAGGTCAATCCAGCACCAACAGGACCCTCTTTTTTTCCCAGTTAGCAGCATCTCCATCCCAAAAGAAAAACGCAGGATCCCCAGACAGGGAATCACCCCACCAGCCCCGGGGCCGACCCCGCGCCTGGCAGACGTACCACGAGCCCCAGGACAAGGGTGCGCACTCGCTCCCCGATCTCGGGGGAGATGTCGTTGCCGAACTGCTGCAGCGTGGTGAGGAAGCGCTTGAGCTTGGAGAGCTGGCGGGCACCGCAGGCCGGCGGGAGCTGGTGGGTGGAGAGGGAGGCGGTGGAGGAGGTGGCCGGCCCGTTGCTGAACCCGTTGGGGGTGGATGGGGCCCCATTGATGGCGGTCGGCGAGTGGCTGCTCCCATTCATCACTGCAAGGAGAGAGGGGACGGGAGGTCAGAGCTGGCGGCCGTACCCTGGCACCGCAGGGACGAGGCTGGGATGGGGGGACCGGAGCATCCTGCTGGGTACTGCGGGGCTGGGACCCCCCGGGAGGCTTTGGGATGCTGCTGCATCCCTGGGGCCACATCCTGGGCTGGTCCCCGGCACTGCGGGAGGCAGATGCAGGCTGCGGGGAGGGATGGGATGCAGTGCATGCCCCAGCACAGCGAGGGCCTGATCCTGCTCCTTGACGTTCAAGAGAGCCAAGAGAAGGGGCTCCATCCTGCCCCTCTGGGAGCTGCTCAGCACCTCCCAGGGAGAAGCCACAAGCCTTTTTCCACGGAGCCCAGCCTGGCTTCAAGCACACCAGTGCCTCCAGCCCTGCTGCCCAGATGGGGAGGACAGGAGCTGCCTGGAGCATCCCGCGCCAGGGGACCCGGGGAGGGATATCTGGGGGTGCCAACCGGCGGCGTGGCGGGTCCCTCACTCCTGCGCCAGCCCTCTGCGCAGACCGTGTGAGCGCAGGGACCTTTCCGCAGCCGGCACAGGCGACGGCACACGTCACCCCGGCTCCCGACCACGCGCTGCTCCGCGACACCCGGGCATGCACCGCGCCTCTCCCCGCGGCGTGCCGGGCATCCGGCTCCTGGGATCGCACTAACCTTGTGGTGCCTGTGCTGCCCTGCCTGCTTTGGCGGGCTCCCGCTCGCTCTACAGCCGGGCAGTATCAGCCGCCCGCTAAAGAGGTGCCGAAAATAACCCCGCGGCCACAACTGCTTTTATTCCCACAACAGGTGCGTTACTAAGTTAGACGCCGCACATGTCCCTTCGGCCGGGCCGGGGCTGGGGTTCGCATCCCCCAGGGGCCCCTGTTCCTGCGGGGGGGGCTGCGGCTGCGGCTCGGGTCTCTCATGAGAGCGGATGCTTCATTTTACTTACAAAGACAGACCATCGACCATTTCAAGCAACCATGAAAACGGCCGCGAGGCAGAAACGTCGGAGGGCCAGCGTCTCGATCTGCAAGCAAAATAAAACACGCTATGATGAGAGAGCAGAGGGGGCAGCTCTCGGCCGGGGGTCCCTGCAGGCAACGCTCCTCGACGGCGGGGGCACACGTGCCGTAGGCGAAGCCGCCCGGACCCAGGCGTGCCAGGGATGGAGCCGGGTCCCTGCATCCCGACGCAGCCAGAGGGAGAGCTCGGGGGATGCTCGGCTGCTAACACGGTCCCCACAGCTTGGGACCACCCCTGCACAGCCGCAGTGCAAGGGGCGGTTTGCAACATTTCCCCGAGACCAAGAACAACCAAAACACTGTCACGCTCCGGGCCGAGCCATGGCGGAGAGGCTGCCTGCACCCCCGGCCCCGCATTCCGCACCGAGCCGAACCCAGGATGCCACATCTGCCGCAGGGTGCGGATTAAAAAGCAAAACCCCTCAGAGTGCAGCCAAGCGCAAGCCGATTTCTAATTAAAGAGCATCTGGCCAGGAGGGCGGCGGAGCCACGGCAGGGCGCAGCGGCTGTCAGGGGGCTGCGGCTCGGGGGGTTGTTTTAGGGGTGTTTTCTTCCCTGCTGGGGTTTCTGAGCAAGAAGCAGCTACGAGCAAAACCCCTGCGCACACATGTGCCTGGGACACGTCTCGGAGGAGCTGGAGCAACCCTCGCTACGGCCACCGCCACTCCTGCTGGGGAGACCAGCTTCGGCCCCTGCTCACCCGGATCCTGCCCCGCATGTGTCTTGTCCAGCCGTGTGCCGGGACGGTGACACCAGCACCGGGACCGATCCGTGGTGCAAGCCCTGCAGGCGAGCAACGAGCCCACGTGCCACCGGTGCAACCAGTGCGTCGGGGCTCCCCCAGTTCAGCGATGCTACAGAGACTGAGGACTCAGACCTCGAGTCCCCGCCAAGTCCCTTTGATGCCACCATGCTGTGGCCTGGGCAGGGCAAGGATATCCCTGCCACCGTGGCTGGCTGTGACGCTCCCCTGCCACCACCGGCTGTCACACGCGACGGGCAGACAGGTCCCCACATGCCCACGACCCCCAGCGGGGCCAGCTCCAACCCGCAGGGACTCCCCCAACCCGCAGCAGCCTCCGTCTGCAGGGGAGAGCGCCCGGGGCCACGCACTGCTCTGTGCCACCATTCGGAGACCATGCAGCGGGAGACCAGGACGTCCCTGTCCCCAAGCACCTCGCAGGGCACTGCTGGCGATGGGCAGTGCCGCAGTGCTCCCCGCCGGCACGTGCATGACCTGGGGCTCAGGGCACACAGCCCAAAGCCCTTCTCCAGCACAAGGATGGGCAATGCCACCCCACGGCGTGGCCAGCACAGCACAGGGGTCTGAGGACACTGCTGGTCCCCGGTGCAGCGTGTGACCCGGAGGCGAAGGGAGCCGGGCAGCCTCCCTGCCTGGCATCCTGACCCCGGCCCCGCCAGCAGCCCAGTACTCACTGGTGTTTGGTGTGAAGGAGGGGTGGCGCGTGGCTCCCTGCGTGATGGCTGGCGGCGGTGGAGGCATGCTGGGCGGCGTGGACCTGGACTGCGTCTTCACGTCGGCTGGCGAGTCGGGCATGGTGGCGGCCCGCGTCTCCGCGTTATCTGCAGGGAGAGGGCACGGGGCGGTGAGTGGGGTGTGCTGGGCAGTACTGCGCTTCCCCTCTGAATGAGGGTTGGGTCGGGGCAGAGGGGACCCTCGGGGACCTCGGGCTGGCCTGGTGCAGGATGGCAGCAACCCTCGTCCCGGGCAGAGCTCAGGCAGCGGGGACAGTGCCTGGTGTCCTGTGTGCCTGCAGGATGGCGGGGATGGTGACCAACCTCCCGTGCATCGGCACAACAGTGGGGACGGTGCCTTGTGCCCGGTGTGGACACAGGGTGGTGGGGACAGCCACAGGGCACAGCCTGGCCCAGCACAAGAACAGCGTGTGTCTCCCTGCAAAGCCATCGCTGTCACGTCCCGGCACCCTCCTGCCAGCGGTTACCTGCCCACGTCTCGGGAAACCCCGGCTGCCCGCTAACCCCTCACCATCCCCGGCAGCTATGCGCAGGGCTGCCGGAATCCCAGGCAGGGATTACACACAGGCAGTAAATTGTGGGTTCGTTGCGGCCGGCGCTTGGTGGCAGCGGTGATGGCAGGACCCGTGCAGTCACCAGCGGCTGTCCCGCCACAGCCCCAGGGAGCCCTGCGGGGCGCCGGATCCCGCAAACCGGGGAGCGTGGGG